ACAACCCAGAGGTGTTTGGAGGAGTTGGTGGGGTCCCACCYCAAGCACACCCTCAGCCAGAGAGAGCCGGCAGCTTCAGACCCTGGGTAGTCCTGTGTAGGAGATGTGGATGTAAACCCAAAATCCCGAGTTTGGGGGTCAGGAGAGAGCACCGGGAGGGTGTATAACAAAAGCTGCTCCCCCGTGCGGACCCGGCACCCCCAAAAGGGACTTTGCCCGTGCTGCCCTCCCCATCCCATCCCATCCCATCCCATCCCATCCCATCCCATCCCATCCCATCCCATCCCATCCCATCCCACCGCCCTCCCGGTCCTGCCGCATCCCTTACCCCGTCCCGGCGTTGCCCTCGACTGCCAAAGTTCACGACAGAGTAAGAAGCTTCTGGAAAAACAGCACGGGGGGGGTTAAAAAATAATAATAATAAAAAAAAAGTATTTTTTTTAAAAAAGGGAGGGGGAGAGAAGTAAAAAAGAGAAGGGGAAAGAGAAGCCCCGTGGGTGTCGGGGTGCCCCGTGCCGGCCGCCTGCCGTGTGGCCGGGCCGGGCCGTGCCCGCCGAGCCGCCGTGAGCCGCGGCCGCCCCGGCGCGGGGTTAAGTAGCGGCTCCGGGAGGCTTCGCGCGTTGCCGCGGCGACGCCACGCCCCGTAAACATCCTCCGGGCACGCCATTGGCCCGCGCGTTGCCATGGGGACGGGGCGGGGCCGGGGGTGGTACCCAGGGATGCTGGCGGAGCCCSCGGCCGGGCCGAACCCAGCCCGGGGACACCAGGAGGCTCCGGGGTGACCTTACCGAGGCTTTTCAGGGTCTGGAGAGGGACTTTCGACACGGGCGTGTGGTGATAGGATAAAGGGGAATGGCTTCACACTGGGAGGGTGTAGGTTTAAATTGGATTTTAGGAAGAAATTATSGTGAGGGCGGTGGAACAGGTTGYCCAGAGMAGTTGTGGATGMCCCATCCCTGGAACAGTTAAAGRCCAGGTTGGATATGGCTTGGAGCAGCCTGGAATAGTGGAAGGTGTCCTTGCCTGTGGTGGCAGTGGTGGGGGGTGGTTGGATGATCTCTAATGTCCCTTCCACTGTGGTTCTGTGAAAACCTGTRCCCTGCCCCACTAGGGGCAACCCCAGCCCTTTTCCTCCTACGTGTGCTCCCATCCCTGATTCTGGCTCCTGTTGCAGCAATGAAGGCAAAGCTGAAGGGGGCCTGTCAGACTCCAAAATAAAAGGTGGAGTCTCACTTAAAATAATTTTAAAAATTACAGCCACAGGCTTCTCTAAGAAACCTCTGCTCCCCACCGCCCCCCATCCTAAGGGTTTTAACAGAAGCCAGGGAGGGACCCCTTTGCAGGATCAGAGCCATCTCTTGCACCTTGTCTGGTCCTAGGCTGAACTCAATGATCTGAGAGGGCTTTTCCAATCTGACTGATCCTGATTTTGAYTCTGATTCAGCTTCAAGGTGCTTCTCCCCACCCCCATCAGCCCCTTCTATTAAACCCCAATCACATCCCCCCTCCCCCCCCTTACAGCCCTCCTCACCTTCAAGACTTCAGCTCCCAGCACACATTTTCTTCCCCCCACTGGAGGGATTTCTGTTGCATGAACTCCCAGCTCCTTGTTGCTCCTCTTCTCCCCCAGGAAACGTTCCCTCTGGGTGTCCACATTCATCCCAGCAGTGCCAGGGGCCACCCACACCACGCACCAGGAAGATGCCTCTACCCTCGCCAGACTCTTCCTGCAAGGGTTTAGTTTGCATTTGCCCCTTCTCCATCCTGACAGGATTTGGGTGGTTGGGAATGCAGGTTGGAAGGGACCTCGGGAAGTGTTTTAGGACATTTGAAGTGGCTGTGCTGGTTTGGAGAAAGTACCTGGGTGACAGGTGAGTGGGTCCTCCCTGCCAAAAACGGTTTCCACTCCCCAAGCCTCCCAACCCCCCACTGCCCTCACCCTGCAACCACAAAATGATTCTGGACACTTTATCGACATAAGATACCCTTTATTAAACATACTCTTAAAATCCAAAACATGCTCAAAGCAAAATCATAAGCAGCAATCTGRTTTCCTTCCTTAAATCCCTGACGTGTGGATCGCTGGAACAAGGGGCTGCCCCGTGGGACAAGGGGCTGTCACCGCTCACCCCAMGCTGCACTGGCAGCTCCTGCCTGCCCCTTGTCCCTTCCGGGCGGCCGAGGAATGGCACCGGTGTCACCCATGCCCTAATCCCGTCTCTCCTATGCCACCCAGAGGACGGATTCTTCGCTCACAGCCAGGCAGCAGCACCGCTCGGCCGCAGCATCTTCAGGGCTCCTATCCATCGCGGCCGCGGTCGCTCCGAGCGAGGGGCAGACCCCACCCGGCTCTGTGGCCACCCCATGAGCTTGTCTGGCTGCCCCTGCAGCCCTGGGGACACAGCTCAGAGGAGCCAGAAAACCCTCACGGTCACTCCCAGAACCTCCTTGCTCTGCCAGCAGCCACAAACACCGTTGCACCCTGTGCCGGGCTGCCAGGCCAGCTGTCCTTGTCCCCTTCGAAACCATGAGGAAGGTCGGGCTTTGGTAGACGAGGTGCTCCTGGAGCACCTGGGTTCAGCCTGATTTTCTCTGCCCTGCCCTGCTGGAGCATTAGGGAAGAGTTGGCTGCCCTGCTTTTCTCAGCTCAGCATGATGCTGAACGTCCAAAGCTCTCCCTGTGGGGTGCTGGTGGCTCCTGGGGGCTGGGACACCCAGCACGTCCCCAAATGGGGCACAAGGCTTGTCCCCACCACTCCAGTCCTCCCTGCTGCTTGCAGCTCCCACCCCACATGCCACAGGATGGCATTCCAGAGATGTCATCCTCTCACATCAACCCAGCCCTAGGCTCCCAGGGAGGAATTTGGGAGCTGTTGAGCTCACAGGAGACACRGCCAGCCCAGAGGAGGCAGCAGAGGGGTGGCCGGCTGCAAATTCACCTCTGGCAGGACCCACACCGAGGCCACAGAGCAAGCAGCTTCCACAGCCCTGGCTGTGAGCCAGGCAGAGAGAACACCCCCCAAAAGGGCTTCACCCCTCTTTAGGAGCCACAGCCATCACCAGCACAGCCGGTGCTCTGCCGTGGGGATGGGAGTGGGGACCTGCTTCCCACACACAGCCCTCCAGGGACTCTGCTTTCTCTGCGTGAACATCTCTGTGCTCAGGTGGCTCTGAAACACAGCTGCCTCCTGCAGAGGAGGTGGCCTTTGTTCCCACACCTGTGTGACAAAAGCAGGTGGGGAGAAGGGAGGCTCAGTTTCCCACCCCGGGCTGCCCCAGACAGCTCCAGAGCCCTGCAGATTTGGATGCTAGGTCTGAGCTCCTCAAAGTGGTTTCTGACTGTCCCTGATGCTCTCTGGAGTAGAGTCTGGCCTCTGCCAATGGCTCCAGCAAGCTCTCAAGGTCTGTAGCTTTATCCCTACTCCTTTACTATCCCAGCAGCAAAACCCACTTATGCTTTCAGCCCAGTGCTAGCCAGAGGGATGGGGATGGTGATGGGGGGCAGTTCCCACACCCTCATCCACCCCTTGCTACAAAGKGTGATGGGGAGGGCAGGACGGGTGGGACAGGGGTGACACTTTTGGCACTTGTTCCAGAGAGAGGGCACAGCCCTGAGCCCTGAGCTCACAGCAGGGTGGAAGACAGAGAGGTAAATTAGCAATTCTCCAAGGGCTGGGGCCGGACTGGGGGCGGTACCAGGTGTCCTGCCCACCCCTGTCACCCTGCTCCATGCCCTGGGGAAAAGCAACCTCAGGGCCAGGCCCAGGAGCCCAGTGCTGAGGGATGGGGAGCTGTGAGGGCACCATCACTGCCAGTGCATTAATGGGGACATCCCATGGCCTGGGGACAGCGCAGGCACAGCAGGGGCATGGGCCAGCAAACTTGGGGGGCGCCGGCGCCCTGTGAAGGTCACCAGCTCACGCACCGAGGGTGCCAATCCCAACACTCATCCTTTAACGCCATCCTCCCACTGTCCCCACCCACCCACATCCCAGTACCCCCTTGGTGGGGTGACCCTGTCCCTTAGGCTCCACACWTTGGATAAGAAGAGCCTGGGGGTGTGAGATGACCGGGGGAAGGGGGCAGGAGGGGACCCCAGCCCGTCCCCGTTAGGGCTGGAGAACGGGAAGGTGCTGATGGGGGGCTCCAGAGTGACATGGCTTTCAGCCCCCCAAGGAAAAGTCGAGGTTACCGTCTTTTCTTTTGAAAATCAGTCCCGGTACAGCCGAGGRGTGCAGATGGCGATGCCCACGGTGCCCGGACACCCTCAGGGTGGGCAGGGGGCTCCGTGCCCCCGCCGAGGCTGAGCCCTCACACGGGCAGGGCGGGCTGCTCCGGGTGCCGGGGGCCGGGGGCGCGGCGGGGCCAGCTCTGCTGCAGCCCCACGTTGTTGTTGGCTGCCTCCGGGCCTGGGGGGAAGGAAACGGGGGTCAGCGGCTCCCAAAACCCGCAGCTGCACTCGTTGTTCCGTTGGAAATGTGATTTATTCTCCCGAAGTAACGCCCGCCCCCCTCAGCCCCGCGCTGGGTTTTGGGGGGTGCCTRCACTTACCTCTCCGGGCTGGGGGAGCCCCTGAAAGCCCCGATTTCTCGGGAATGCTGAGGGCAAACGGGAAACACGGCCCGAGCATCGCTGGGTTTAATTATCCCAAACGAAGAGGGCTGCCTGCATCCCCCCTGCCCGCATGCAGATGGCCTGTGGGGCCACAGGACAGCCCCTTGTCCCCTTGGCCTGGGCACTGAGGGAGCGAGGGGTGACAACCCAGCGCCAACCCCCCCAGGGGACAGGGCACGAGGCAGGCACAGCTCTGGGGGTCTCATGGTCTCACCTATTCCTCAATGTTAATGGGGCAGGAGTCCGGCACGGCGGCTGCGTGGCAGGAGAGACCAGAAGGCACATGGTGAAGGCAGGAGCGGCGCGGGGACACGGGGACACGGGGACATGCACTCGAGCGAGCCAACGGGGACACCGGGGGGCCTGGGGGGTCTCACCGCCTGCAAACGGGGCCAGGGAGCTGCTGCGGGCACGGGGTGAGGGGTCCCCATGCGTGGAGCATCCCGGGGTTTTGTGCCAAGGGGAACCGAGGGGTGGACATGCTGGTGGTGTGGGGGCAGCGGGGTCCCCCCATGCCTCCTCTCCGGCCGCAGGCTCCCAGTTCAGGCAGCACCCTCCAGCTGGGGCAGGGCGATGGCAGAGCTCGGCCCGTGGCTTGTGTCCCACCACCAAACCCATCAGAGGCTGCGTGGTGCCCTTAGGAAGGGGGTGCACCCCAGGGCAGCTTGGCTGCACCCTTCAGCGAGGTTAAGCCCTGTGCCCAGGGCAGCTCTGACCCACAGGGACTGCGTGAGGGCATGCCAAGGCCAAGGGCTTTCTCAGAGGGGGAGCAACAAAATCCTGCTGCCTGCTGATTTATGGGAGGTGACAGCTGCCGTTTCGAGTGGCTTTTCATGGYGAGCTCAGGCTGGAGAGCGAGGCATGTTAAGTCTGCAGATCCCGGAGGGGATGGATAATTAAACAGGACCACATGTACATGCACASAGCAATCCCATTAAGAGCTTGATATTGCCTAAGTCACTGCAGTGCYCCGGTGCAGAGAGGCAGCTCTGCTCAGTGCACCCTTGCAGGGCTGCCGAGGAGCAGGGCTGGGGTGGCAGGACAAGGACTGGCCCTGGAGCAGGGCATCAGCCCTGTGCCCACCCAGCCCTGCTCCCCTGGGCTGCTGGAGGGGTCTCCCATGCTGTCAGCACTGGCACACCTGCCCCAGGCAGCTCCCAAACCCCATCCTGGTGAAACCCAACCAGCCCACTGCTCACAGCATCTGTGGCTTTAAACCAGCAAGAGCGCTCAGGGGGTTTCAGGTTTTCTCAGCAGCCCTCCCACCTTARTGCCAGCCTTTCTGGCAGATGTTTTGCCCCAGTTTCTCTTTCCAAAGCTGTTTTTGCCACTCTACCCCTGGCAGAGGCTGTGGCTGTGGCTGGAGGATGCTCTGAGCCTGGGAGACAGCCCCAGCAACCCACACTCTCACAGGATCCACTCAAGGACATGGATCTATAGGTTTTAGTTAAACCTCATGTCCTTTTGCCTCCTCCCAAAGCTCTTTCCCACCAGACTGAAATCTGCAGGGATTTCAAAAGAAACTTTGAGGAACCACATGCCGCTCCTTCATCCACTACAGAGAGGGCAAAAATATCATTATCAAATCACATCCTCATTCCACCAGCTTGGAGAGTRTCCTAGATGTGGACTCTTGAACACCACAGGTCTCAAGGGCCAGTRTGCAACTGCCTTCCCTACAATCAGTGAATGGGGTCATCACGCTCTGGGTACCAGCCCTCAGAAATTTTATGAATGATGCAGCCAAAACAAAACCACAAAAYACAGAACACCCCCAGCCTGTCCCACCACAAGCCTAAAGGACTGGAAGTTTAAAGGCACAAAACTGCTCTGAACTCCTTATGATACAGAGGCTGACTGWGCCCTAGAGAGTTAAAGGATGTCCAGCATACCCCCCATAACTGCTCCCAGTACTTCTCCAAAACCTATAAAATCGACCCTGAACGTTTCACTGGTCAGTCTATGAGGTCAAATTGAACAACCACAAGTATTGCTTAATCCTGKTCCTTAGAGAGATGCAGACCAGTGTTTCTACCATCAGACCAAAACATTCACATTTTACAGAAACCTCCTCCTCTGGGTGGCTTTCTTGGCTAAACCAGAGGCCATCACCTCACACATCTAACTGATGTATTGGGAACTGGAATGGGGATATTGAACTGATATAATATCAGTCTGAGTGATCAATTGGATGCAATCATTAATAATTTGAGCACTACAGATCAACACATCAGATCTTCCTTATCCCCTCAGGGAAACACACAGTGGTCAGCTTCAAATATGAAAAATATCAAAATGCCAATGACCAACTGGCTGATGCTCTGGAAATTGCTCAAAGCAAAGTGTCTTAGGCACTCAGCTATATTCCAGTTCAGTTGTGGCTAAACTCTACCAGTACTGGGATAATCACAGAATSGGAAAAGGGATYTTTTTCTCATCGAAATTTGAGAGGGCATTTCAATCCTGATGGTCTTTAATCGAATTTTCTTATGTCCCCATCATGAATAAGGTCACAGCTTTTGTCTCAGTGCTTCTGTCTGTACCAAACACCAAATCCTTGTGCTAGATCCATTGGAGCACCGAGCATGGGCTTTTAAGAACAATCACACAACATGCATGGCAAACCACTGATGCAGACGGGTGTGTGGTGAGAGAATGACATGGGTTTACATGTGACAGTAATACTTTGAAAGCTCAAGCTGTTTTGACACAGAACTATGTCTATAATTTTGAAATATCTCCTGATAACGATCCTGAATCCATCCCAGTATCCACAGGACAAGGGTGTGCATGTCTAAGAACCCCTTGTGACACCCTAACAGTGGATGACACAAAAACACAGATTTTTACCTGCTCAGTTCTATGTATTTGTAACTTCACCTATAGAAGGTGTGACTTWAGGGCATGACTTCAGTCACTCCCTACCAAAAACCATGCACCAGAACRTATGTCAGGTGTCCAATATGACACTTTGTCTCCAACCCCTACTGCAATGGACATTACTCTGGTTAAAAACTGCTGGACCACCCACAAACGGGTACAACTCAAAAGGAAAGTCAGAAAACAGTGAGCACTGGCCATTATGGTGTGGAAAAAATTCCTTGTGTCCTACAGCAAGTGAAAAGGAATGGAGAACATCACATCTGCCATTCCCAGGGGACYGTGGACAGCCCCAAAGGCCCCACTCTGGTGATAATCACAGAATGGGAAAAGGRACTTTTACTAATCAAAGTTTGAAAGGRCATTTCAGTCCTGGTGGTCTTTAATCAAAGACCCTCTGTCCCTGGTCCCAGCAYGAGGGGCAGCCCCCTGCTTTTCCCCACAAATGCCAAGGCTGGASAGGCACGGTGGCCAAAGGATGGACAGGGCATCCTTGGCTGGACCCAGCCCAGGGGCCAGATCCTGCACCAGCCCAGGCAGGGGGACAAAGACAGTGCCCTCCTCACAGCAGAGCAGAATTCAWCCCAGTGCCAGAGCCATTTGGGCTGCAAAGCTCCCCCTTCCTCATCCTCCCCCCAGCACAACCAAGAGGGATGAGGTCAAGGACAGTTTTGGCYGGTGCCACAGCCAAGGGATGCTTTGCCAGGCCCTCCAGCAAAGCAGAGGTGCTGCTGGGACACCCCCAGCTCCCTCCCCAGCCCCCCCAGGCCGGCAGGGCTCAGCCAGCTGCTGACAGAGGGTGATGGAGGGAGGGGACATGGGGCTTTTGTGGCAGGCGCCTGTTCCTCCCCATGACCCTCAGCCGTGTTTCTCCAGCACAGAAACCACCAGGAACAGGTTAGGCAGCAGGAGAGGAGGCTTTCCCAAAGGAAAAGTGGTGAAAAAAGGATTTCTCCCCCCTCAAGTGGGTTTCACCCACCCTCTCAGCTCTCCAGCACCTGCTGCAGGTCTGGGACCTGCCACAAAGTCAGCTGAAAGGGCAAGGCAGGGGCAGAGTTRCTTTCAGCTCATTCACAAATGTATTGATGGAGACCCCTCGGAGGGCATTGTCTTGGAGTTTTGGCTGTTTCCCCACACACAGGGGGAAGCAGAGCCTGCAGGGCTGGGCAGGGCCCCCMGCCCACTGCCCCCTGCCACACAGGGGCAAGGGATCTCCAATACATTTGTCACCTTTGGGCAGCTCTGGGCAGGGAAGGGGCACAAGCGTGGGTGGAGAAAACCGTGTTGGCACAGAGCGAACATGAACTTTCACACACACCGAGGAGCTTGGGGGGGAAGGAATTAAAAAAAAGGAATGGAGAGAGGCTGGGAGGAAACAGAAGTGAAAAGAGGGTGGGGGAGAAAGCATGAAGAAATGGGGAAGAGGGATGAATGTTGGGGCTCTGYAGGAAATGACCTGACCTGACCTGACACACCCCATCTCCCTGGCCTTGGAGGAAGAGGAGGATGAGACAGGCAGCTCCTGCTGTGCAGCTGGACAGCCTGAGGGTCACATCCCAATGCAAAATACTCCTGTGCCCACCACAGGCCAGACCAGGCTACAGCTGTGCCACACAATCACCTTCCTAAGGAGGGCTRGTGCCTCCTGGGCTGCCAGCAGCCCCCTGGCCGAGGGACAGAGCATCCCAGCAAGTCAGCAGCCCCCTGGGGACATCCCAGTCTGGACAGGCCACCCTGGCCTTGGGGTGGTGACATGCCTGGCGCTCAGCCCTGTGGAGGGTCGGGCAGAGGGGTGCAGTGAGGACAACCTGGCGGGGATGGTGAGAATGATGGCGATGGGAGAGAAGGGATGGATGCAAAGGGCTGGGGGGATGCAGGGAAGAGTGGAACTGTCCCCCCCACCCCAAGTTCATGTTCAGCAGACGGCCACTCACCAGGTAAGCAGGCCTCAGAGCACAGTTTATTGTCCAGCGCTTTCACGCGTGCGATGCCCGTGTCATTGTTATTGTCACACGTCAGACCGAGGAAAGCGCCTGTCCTCGGGCCTGGAAGGGAGTTAAGGCAGTTACCGCCGCGGCCGGGCTGGGGCTCGACATCGCCTTTTACTGCGGGGTGGGACTGCTGGGGCTTTTCCTCTCCCCTCCCCAGCCTCTTTCAAAGGAAAAAAAATGAGATAAAAACGATGCATCTGGGTGGGAGCGGGTGAAGAGTGGACAATAACACCTGGGCACAGCCCGAGCTGCTCCTTTCCTCGCGCCGGCCGCATCGGAGGGCAGCGGAACAGCGATGATGCRGCGATGGGCACACACGTGAACCTGCCCAGGGTTCAGCCAAACCTTCCCTCTGGCACAGCCAGGCCGTGGTGGCACCCATCACCTCCTGCAGGAGCCTCTCCGGCACCAGCGGTGCGGTGAAAGCTGCGTGGATGCCGGGAGGAGGCAGCAGCCGGATGCGTGGGGCAAAAGAAGCCGTAGCCAAGCTTTTGCAGGGGGGATGGAGGCTTTTGGGGATGAGGGAGGTAACTCTGCTTCATAGCATTGCTTCTGCRAGAGATCAACCCCCAGGCTCTTCCCTGCATCCGTCAGATGCAGGTGATCAAACCTCAGGAGGGGTGTTCCCAAATAAGCCAGTAGCCCTGCTGAGAACAGGTGCAGGACTGTGTCCTAAGGAGAAAGGCATCCTGCTCCCAGAGTCATTGGGATGCCCACGGATGTCCACCACAGCCCCTGGTGGTTCCTGTTTGTCATACTTGAGTGTCCCCATCAGCAAGAGCCTCTCTGCAGGTCAGAGGCCCCAATTTGGGTATGGGTGTTCCATGGGTGTTCCTGCTTTCCAGCTTGGCTGAGCGTCCAGGTYGGATGGGGAAAGTTTTGGTGTATTTTTGCTAAAAAGAGTCTTGGAAATGTTGGAGGGGGCACACTGCAGGCCTCCCTATTGCCCAAAAGCAATCCAGGGTGGTTGGTGGCCAATGGCACRGGGTGACCACCTCTTTCCTTGGCCATCTGAGCTCAAGGGAGGAGGCGAGAGGAGCCCTCGATGTGCGTGCGTTGACCTTGCGGAAGCCCATTGAAGATGGGCCRCACAAAGTGAGGAAAGCATCCCAAAGGGAACAGCTTTGCAGCCCCTTCCTATGGGAATCAGCCAGACACTGATTTCTACAGGGGAGAGTTTCAGAGATTTGAGAAAAKACCTTGGCAAGGGAAGAAACTCAGAGAGAAAGAGAAGCCTCTTTCCCCCTTGGCTCGTCGGGAAAACCAATGGATCGTGCACACCAACCATCACCTGCCTGTCCCACACCGAGCTCCCCRGGGTGCCCGTGGCCAGCTGGCTCCCCCACCCACTGCTGCTCAGCCCACCTGTGRGTGGCCCCACTGTGACAGATGTTTCCCTGTCCCCAGTGCCCACAGAGTCCCAGAGGGCTGTCCCTGATGGCAGGGRGGAGCTGGGGACAGCCCAGCACCCGCCACTTGCAGTGACCAACAACAACCCGGGGCCTTTTACCGTCTTCCTGTGTGGGAGAGGCGTCCTCATCCTCCAGCACGTCATTGCCCTGTGGCACAGGCGAGAGACAGCGAGTGTCAGACCAGGGCTGTGCCAGGGGCTGTCCCCAAGTCCCTTTGGGGGAACATCCCTGGCCTTGGGGGTTCCATGGATTGGGATTGTCAGTAGGGCATGGCCCCACTCCCCATCCATCYCCAGGGCAGCCCAAAGGGATGTGGATGTGTGGGCAGCCCCCTCCCCAGCCCAGCCGGGGGAATGTGGTGCCAGCTGTCCCCTCCATGGGCACARCTGGGATCCCCCCCTGTGCTGGGTGACATCAGAGCTCCCAGCCATGGRTGCTGCTGTGATCCYCCCCCGTGCCAGGTGACACCAGAGCTCCCAGCTATGGGAAATGCTGGGATCCCTCCCTGTGCCAGGTGACATCAGAGCTCCCAGCCATGGGTRCTGCTGTGATCCCCCCMTGTGCCAGGTGACACYAGAGCTCCCAGTCCCTCGTGGGGTGGTCACGGTTACCTCGGCATCGCGCTCCTCGGCAGAGATGCTGACAAAGTTTAGATCCGGGGACTCCACAGGCGTTGACTGTRGGAGGAAGGTGGGAAAGATGGAAGGAAAACAAAAAAAATCTGGTACTGGTGGTTTTTTGGAGGAGGAATTACATCCCACGGGGAAGGTCTCCAACCTGGGCACCATCAACAACCCCCAGTCCCTACCTCTCCATCAGAGGCTGTGGCGCTTGCGGCCACGGGCGAGGGGAGCATGTCCCCCTCCTCCTCCTCCTCCTCTTCCTCCTCCTCTTCCTCCTCTTCCTCCTCTGTGCCAGGGGCAATGTAGGAGCCAGACATGGAGGACACGGTGTCGGTGCTGAGCTGGGAGTGCTGGCTCTGGGAGGAGGCCATGGACATGACGGACTGAGCCAGGCTGCTGCTCACGGGCTCTGGGGGAGAGCAGGGGCTGAGGGGGCTGCTGGAGCCCCACACCCACTGGTGGGGGTCACAGCACAGCACCCCCCAATTGGAGAGGGGCTAATGAGGAGGAGTGGGGTGCAGAGGAAGGACTGGMTGCAGGCCGTGGAGATGGGGTGGGTGCAAAGCTGCCAGCAGCAGGTCCCCAGGGCTCACAGCCCCCCGTTCCTGGGTCTATGGGGGACAGAGCAGAGATGATTGGTGTCCCCAAGATCCCCATCTCCAGGTCTGTGGGTGACAAAGCAGAGATGACGCCCTAGGGCTCCATCCAATGTCCATGCAGGGTAAGAAGGGACCATGCCAGCCCTCCTTGCATCCCCCCACATTGTGACAGTCCTGAGACCATGATGCCACTCTCCTGCCTGGCCAGCACCCCGATTCCCACCATGCTGTACCTTCTGGGGACGAGATGGTGGAGGACAGGGGTGTCCCAGTGCACGAGGACTGGTCAATGGCTCCTGATGATGACAGGGTGAGGTTTTCACTCTCCGGCGTTGCACCACATTCCTGGAAGAGGAGCACACGAGGAGGATGGGATGGGGGATATTCAGCATGGATGGAGTATCTCCCCCAGGCCCCCTAATGGATGGAGGAAGAGCCAGCAGGGGCAAACCCCAGCCAGTCTCTCTGGTCCCAAGCCTCCCTCAAACTTGCTGCCCCTCCCAGTGCCTCAACTCATCACCAGCACATTTTGGACAGTGCTCACCTCCTCACACCGGCCTGGGGATCTCCTCCTGGAGTCCCTCAGCTCTGACTCAGTGCATGACTTCTCATCCTCCTCTTCGGGCAGGATGGAGGAGTTCTGGGAGATGGACCTGGCCAAAGGGGCAAAGGAGAGAGTTTCACCCCTGCCCAYAGCCCCCAGCCCCCTGAGCCCCTCCAGACCCCTGTGCCCACCCCAGTACTCACTTGGAGATGCTCTTCTTCARCTTGAGCCCGGGGGGGCCGCAGTCGGGCAGGCGCTCCAGGGGTGACAGGGCCCTCAGGGGGGGCAGGGGGCCATCACTGCCGTAGGCAGGCAGGGTCCCCACGCCCGGGGGATCCCCCAGAGCTCGCAGGGGCAGCGCGGCCGGCGACGGCGTCAGYGGCCCATTGAGCGCCTCCAGCAGCGACACCACCTCGTAACCCGGGGGGATGTTCTCYGAGGACTGGGGAGAGCGGGACACAGCGTGAGGATCCTCCCCGGGCTGTCTGGCTGATCCACTCACTCCCAGTGGGATCGAGGTGCCCCACAGAGAATCTCAAACCCAAAGAATGGACACCCACAGACACCCAGCTAAAAGCCTTTCCTTGGGTTTTTTGGTTTTTTGCAATATCACAAAAACCCTGTGTTTTTCACAAGATCAATTTGCAYTAAATAAATAAACCTTGTCCATCAGAAACACATGGACCCCCACTCTGCTGGGAGAGGCTGGGGTCCCACACTCAGCCAGGCACTGACCGAGTGCTCCTCAGAGTCCGAGGTCTGCGAGGCAATGATGGGGTTGAAGCTGGTGGGCGAGAGGGGGCCCAGCTTTTTCCTCATGGCTCGGATTTGAAGCAAGGCTCGGAAAGCTGCGGCAGCAGGGGGAAAAGGGAGGGGTGAAAACCAGGGGCTGAAGGGAGACCTGCCAAATAAAAAAAAAAAACAAGCCACCCCATTTCCCAAGAGGGGCATCCCCACTCTGCACAGTGGGGCTGAAGGAGTGCAGGACTCAAGGGTGGGAGATGCCAATCCATTCCCAGAGATGCCAGCCCGTTCCCAAAGGCGCCAGCCCATTCCCGGAGGTGCCAGCTCATTCCTGGAGATGCCACCCCGATCCCAGAGATGTCAGCCCATTCCCAGAGGTGACAGCCCCTTCCCAGAGATGCCACAACGTTCCCAAAGGTGCCAGCCCATTCTAAGAGGTGCCAGCCCATTTCTCAAGATGCCAACCTGTTCCCAGAGATGCCACCACGTTCCTCGAGATGCCACCACGTTCCTCGAGATGCCAGCCCATTCCCAGAGGTTCCAGCCCATCCCCAAAGATGCCAGCCTGTTCCCACAGGTGCCAGCCTATTCCCAAGGGTGCCACCACGTTCCCAGAGGTGCCACCCCTTCCCAGAGATGCCAACCTGTTCCCAGAGGTGCCACCCTGTTCCCAGAGATGCCAGCCCATCCCCAGAGGTGCCAGACTGTCCGCAAAGGTACCAGCCCATTCCCAGAGATGTCACCCCATCCCCAAAGGTGCCACCCCATCCCCAGAGGTGCCACCCCATCCCCAGAGGTTCCACCCCATCCCCAAAGGTGCCAGCCCATCCCCAGAGGTGCCAGCCCGTCCCCAGAGGTGCCATCCAGCCCAGCCATGCCCCGGCCCTTACGCAGCCTGCAGATGGGGCAGTTGTTGGCCTGGTAGCGCAGGGTGTCGGCGCAGGTGTTGCAGAGGCAGAGGTGGCGGCAGGGCAGGATCAGCGTGTCCCGCACGTCCGACAGGCACACCACACACTCGGCGCTGTTATCGCTCACCTCGTCCTCGGCCACCTGCCCCGGGCACACGAGGGAACTGCTCAGCCTCGGGGTCCCCAGCCCAYGAGGCACCAGGGTGGGTGCCCTAAAACACCCCAAGAGGGTCCTGCCAGGGTCCATGGGGTGCCTGCTCTTGAAGAACCCCCCTCGGACCTCATTCCTCCCCTCCAGGAGGATGGAGGTGAGGCCAGAGGAGACAGAAACCCCAAATGCCATCCCAACTTTTACATACAGAGAGAGAGAGCACTCCCTCCAGCCCCACTGTGCAGAGTGGGGATGCSCCTCTTGGGAAATGGGGTGGCTTTTTTTTTTTTTTTCTGGCAGGTCTCCATGCCTAGAGCCCCATGCTCTCCATCTAAGCCATCACCCTCCCCCCAAAAATGGACTATAAAGGACAGGGGAAAAGCTCAACCCTTCAGTTTTCTGCCTACAGCAGCTTCAACCCCAGCACAAAGCATCACCAGCTCGGAGCTGTGCTGCAAACCCGTGCCCTGATCACATTTCAGTGGCCAGGCCTGCGCTAGGGGAAGGGAAGAGGGGAGGAGGGAAGCTCCCAGGGATGCTTGGGAGGCTGGGGGAGGCAGGCACAGACCTTGGAGTCCTGYGTGTTGTACTTGTTCTCGATGCCRTAGATCTCCTGCAGCAGGTAACTCACTCCATCCACCTGCAATCCCATGGGGAGGGGCTGAGGAGCAGAGAAACACTCCCCAGAGCCACTGCAGCCCCCTCCTACGGCCAGCCCTCCTCACCCCAACATCCAGGGGCTCTCTTTGCATCAAAATTGCACTCCCTGGGAGGCAGGGGCAAGGCTGGGACACGCTCGGGGCTTTTGGGGCTCCCCAAAAACCTTCAACACCTCCTCTGCAGGGCCTGCATGGCAGCTGCCACCACCTCAGGGACACCCCAACACTCACCACTTGCTTCTGCTTGAGGGGCTTCACGCAGAAGGTGCCGTCGCTGTGCTGGAGGGAGGAGAGAACACGTGGGTGGGCACCCATGGGTGGCTGTGCTGGAGCACCCACCCACCCTGTGGCTGTCACCGCTCCCTCCTCGCTCCCAGAAAGCCCATTTTGCAGGAATTCTGGCTTTTCCCACAGCCCAGCACCATCAGCTGTGCGATGTCACACACATTGCAAAGCTGGAGAATTGTTGAAGGAAGGAAGGTGGAGTTGASCCCAAATGCCTCAAGGGCAGATGCTTAAAAGGAGGGAATAGTCCCAGGATTTGAGGAGCGGCCCCAAAGMAGCCCCAGCCCAGCAGCACCATCCCAGTTACCAGGGATTCTCCTTGCACCCAGTGGGTGAGGGGGTATGGGGGATAGGAGGGCCCCAGTTTGGCATTTACCTTCTCAAAGGTGGCCAGCAGCACATGGCAGTGCCCACTGTGCTCTGCAAGACACAAAGGGACACGTGGGGCTCAGGGGACAAGCAGGGGCACAGGCAGAGCCATGGGGACAGTGAGGAAAAGCAGGAGGCTCTGCCCAGCTGGCATCACACCACCAGCAAACTGGGAAAGCCCATCCCAGCAAGGAGCCCCCTCCTCACCCTCTCCTTCATCCACCACCGCCTGCACCACCATGGGATAAACCTCRCGGTCCAGGTCGAAGCCCAGCTGGAGAGAGACAGGAGAGGCTTGGTGAGACTGAGCAGTGCTGAGGCTTCATCCCAGCTCCACGTCCAGGGATGAGGGCAGGGGCACACACCCACCTCCTCCTCGCTCCACTCGGAGGGGTCGATGGTGTGCGAGGGCACGCAGAACTGCTGGCACACCCCCCGCTTGTAGTGCACCGTCTCCGACTGCAGGCTGTTGTCCCTGGGGATGTAGCTGGCCCGGGGACAGAGGACAGAGGACATTGTCAGGGCACCACGGGTGTGYCCACACTGCTCCTGCTCCCCCCAGATCACAGGTGCCAGGTGCATTGGGGGGGTATCACCCCTTGCCCCCAGATATCTGTTGGGGCTGAGGTAAGAAGTTCTAAAAAGGGCTAAAATAACCCACAGGGCAGCCAACAACACACGGGAGGGGACAGGGACAACTCCACAGCCAACCTGGAGGTGACTGTGAGGGACAGTGATTAACCTGGGTCTGTGCTCTGACCTGACGGTAACAAGAGAGAGCAGGACGGGACAGGGAAGGAGGGGACAGGGGCTGACAAGCAGCTCATGGTGGCACCTGGGGAGAGAAGGAACCCCTCCATCAGCAGCTTCCTGTGCCCTGAGAGAGGCTCCAGGAGGGAGATTCTCCCTGTCCATCAGCCAGGGACACACACCACGCTTGAGGGGACACAGGCCCRGCTGGGGGGTGACACGGGCCAGGCTGGGACCCCTCACCTCGCCACCCCGTTGTGAAACTCCTCCGTTGCCTGGTAGTAGATGGTGATGGCCACGCGGGCGTCCGTGTCGAAGGTGAACTCCACGTTGTAGTGCACCTTGGCTTTGCTCACTTCTTCCCCGGGGGTCTTCACCTCCTCTGAGCACCTGGGGAGCACAGAAGCTCCAGGAGATGGGCCTTGGGGTGCTCCAGGACGGATCCCCTCAGCACCAGAAGGGGACACTGAGGCACGGCCAAGGTCGCGCCTGCAGGCTGGGAAGTGCCGCAGACAGATTTYAGCCGGAATAATCCCGAATCTCACGGCCCTGCCGCAATCCCCAGCCTCCCTCCAGCAAAGCCTTCGGAAGGTGGGGGAGGAAGAAGAAGAAAAGCACTTCAAAGGCAGCRTTAAGCTCCTTTAATCCTGCGGCACTGCCTGCGCCGGCATGCGGGAAGCGGGAGGGGAAGGGCATATTTGGAGAGCTGCTTGATGTACGGATTTTGCTTTGGGTTTTTTTGTATGCAAAGCTGTTTATTGTAAAGAAGTTTTGTRTTTTATAAGAATTTAAGCGATTTATAATTAGTTTTTATTATTTGTATGTAATGTATAGAATGGGYARACTTTAGGAGYTTTTKGGGGATTTTTTTCATTTTTTTTCTGTTCTTTTCCCATGACTTTCAGTTCTCTGTGAACTTTCTTGTATTTAACTGTAACYATTCTCCCAGGGTTTTTCTGTTCACCAAAGCAAACAGATCCTCGCTGTCTGAAGCCTGCATTCCCACAAGGAGCCGTGGCTCATCCCCTCCATCCTCCCGTGTCCCACAGCAGGACCCTCCTCCCCGCGGCTCGGGGCTCCACACTCACTTGACGAGGCGCAGGGTGTCCTTGCGAATGTTGATTAAGCTCCTGAGGGTCTTCACGGGTTCCTGAGGAGGTGGAGCAGCGTAAGGGAACTAGGATGAGAGAGACAGCGGTGAAGGCAGACGCACACGGGGGGTTCWGGTGGCTGTGGACCCCGCAGTGACCCAGACCCAACACCCTGCGGAGGGAATCGGGGTGGCCTGGGCAGCCTGGTGGGTGCTGAGMACCCACAGCTCCTGCTGGATTTTGGGTACCAGRCAGTGATGACAGGGACATCCCTCCAGGACAGCAGGGCCAGTGTCACCAGACAGGGGGCACACACAGGGGCTGCTCCTTGTCCCTTCAGCTGGAGGGTGACAGGGACGTGGGGCACAGGGCAGATGGCTGCTGATAGATTTTTAGGCTGCTGGATGAGGTTGGGCAGAGAGGGAGACTGAAGCTCTCTCCCTGTCCACCAGCCAAGGAMAAACAGGCACAAGCATCCCTGTTTGCTTTCTGACTGATGGGATTTGGGTGGTGGAATCCCTGCCAGCCCCGTGCCTGGGCTGGAGCAGGCAGAGAGCAGCATCCATCCTCCAAGGTGACATTGTCCTTCCCAGTCCTTYCTGTCCACCTGACAGGGGCTACAGGGCTTGCTGGGGACAGGGGACACAGGGGCACCCAAGGGACACYCTCTCCTGGGCACCAGAGTCACCCAGAGGAGAATGAGGGCAGTGGGGAAAGGATTCAGGAGCCATCTTCCCCCTCTCCATCTCCCAGGTAGGTTGAGCCCCAGGAGGGATCAGCCCTGATTAAGGGCAAGCTGYCACCGTGTGCCAGGGGACAGCCAGAGCCAGGAGGGTGTCAGGTGCCATCAGGGATGGCAGATGGTCAAAGAGCCTCTGCTGCTGCCTCTGGAGAGGGAACAGTGTCCCACTGTCCCTCACTGAGGCACCCAYTGCACCCTGACACCAAGGGGACAAGACTCAATTGCAGGTGGCATTCAGGGATGTCCTGCAGGGAGCCAGGTGCCCATTTTCCATGGTACTCTCACATGGGACAGCCGTCATCACCCAACCTGTCCTCAAAGCCATCATCACCCAACCTGTCCTCAAAGCCATCATCAGCTTCCCTGTCCCAGAGCCCAGCAGAGCAGGATGGATGGGACTGGGGGACAGTGCTGGGCACAGAGGGACAGGGTGGCACAGGCACTATTGGCAGATTCAAGCCTGGGCTGGACACAGCGTGGCCGATGGCTCYAGAGGCAAAAAGAGCAGCAAGGTCATTAAACTGCCATAAACAAACTTTTTAATGAGTCACTGAACATGCAGGTGCAGAACCGAGCACCTGCAGAGTCACCCACTGCAGCTGGGAGGAAGAAAGCGAGAGCAGGCTCCAGGCTGGAGCTGAGCCATGTCATGACATCTTGTGCCATGTCGTGATATGTTGTGCCATGTCATGATATGTTGAGCCATGTCGTGATATGTTGTGCCATGTCGTGATATGTTGTGCCATGTCATGATATGTTGAGCCATGTCATGACATGTTGTGCCATGTCGTGATATGTTGTGCCATGTCATGATATGTTGAGCCATGTCGTGATATGTTGAGCCATGTCGTGACACACCCCCTGCTATTCAAACCAACGCAGTCACCCCAAATTGCTTGTTGGCACCTCACCCAGCCAAACCATGCCCAAACCAGGCCTGGCAGGGAGGACACCCCTGGGTGCAACCCCCCCTCCTGCTGCAGCCCCCAGGGGTGGGTGACAGAGGAGGGAAGGAGCAGTCAGGTCCCCTGGGTGTCACCCACAGGGGCCGTTTGGCTGGGCAGGATGGGGAAGTGCCGCAGGCAAATTTTGTGCTGCAGAAACCACTTCGGGTTCTTCCACTCCCACGTGTGAAAAGCACTTTTTGGGGGCGGTTGGATTTTTTTTTTAAACTAAATCTTACAAGCCAGATTTTGCACATCAGAAAGGGGCCATTCAGAGGACGTTTTGCATCTCCTCACTTCAAATCAAACTGAAACACAACAGAAAAAAAAAATGGGTAATGGTTGTGGTGAAGTTAAGAATGTCATCCACGTGCCTATAGCAACATTTGGTGCAGGCCAGCTTCTGTTAAAGTGAAATAAAAACCACCCTCGAAAGTCTGTCTCGGGGTTTTTCTATAAGCAGATCCCAGCAGGTTTGCGTGGGCAGGGAAACCCAGTGGCACATTTCAACAGTTCCTGGCTTCCCCTGCGCTCTCAGCGTGCCTCCAGCAGCTTCTCTGCTCCTCAGCCCCTGCATGGTGGCAGCTATTAAACCTGCAACGCCCTTCCCAGCCCCTTGGGAACCTGTTCCCAGCTGGAAAATCCAGATTATTATGTGTCCATGGAGGGGAGAACCTGCACAGCCTCCGGCTGCTCTGCACATCCCTGCGGCAGCAGCGCTGCTCATAGCTCAGACAAAGTGCTCCGCTCACAGAGCACTTGGGACACAATTTTTCCAAGATCTCCTGGCCCCTGATCCCCAAGGAACCCAAAATAAATCCCCCAGTGAAAAGCAGTGGCCATCTCCAATGTTTCCAGCCCGAGCAGGGCTCTCACAGAAGGGCAGAAAGCAAAAGCATCGCAGCCAAGAAGCATCAGGACAGGACTTGGAAGCGGCATCAGAGCGGCCCAAGCGTTGCCTGGACACAGTCTTGGATCAGAACCAACYCAGCTCCTCCCCAACTCCTCCCTGAGCCCCCAAAAGTGGCCTGAGCCAAAGTCCAGCCCCAGAACAGTCTCTGGCTCCCCTGGGAGACAGGAGCTTGGTCACAGCTCTGCAGCCCAGGGTCGTTGGTAATTAAACCAGAGCAAGACAATTTAGCTCATGATGCTGTATTAATTCTCTCTGCTGTTTCCAAGCTGTTCCTTTGCCTTCCCCGCTGCTCTGCTGTCGGGGCTGCTGACATGGGAACTGCTCACTGGGCAGTTTAGAGGCTTTTACTGTAATCAAGAGGATTTCTCAACACTCACTGCTAGAAGAGACCCTGAGTGCTGACTTCTCATTTTCCAGGGAAGCACAGAGGATGGAGAGACAGGCACTGCCTTTGCCCACCCAGTGTTTATGGGCTTTGGGGATGCTCCTGACCTTGGCTCTGCCGGGATTCCTGCTCTGGCACAGCCCAGGGCCGGACACTTCCCTGCTGAAGGACCGCACGACGCTGCCAAAATGTTTCCAAAGCCAATTCCAAGGAGGAAACGGGAACCTTGCTGTCAGCAGGCAATGCCTGAGAGCTGGGCCAAAGCACCAGGCAACTTTATCTCAACTCAACAGAAAAGCTTTGGTGCCTTTTAAGTCTTCACCCTGAATTTTTTCAATACCTGATGCCCCCAGACTCCTCCAGACAGTRCTGGTGAGCTGTCCCACAGCTGAGAGGCACCTGGATGAGAGGGCGAATCACTCCCATGGCTGAATCCYGCTTTCATTTGCTCCCTTTCCAAAGGCAGCACGCACAAAAACCCTCTCCAGGAGCCTGGCGTGTGGGGACCCCTCTCCAGCCAGGTTTCCTTGTGCCCTGAGACCAGCACTGCAAAAYCCCTCCGTGCTGCCCCCAGCCCCAGCTTACTCCCACCTTTAAAAAAAAAATAAAATCTTATTTCTTCCCCTATTTTGCTAGAGGCTGGGGAGTAATTCCATCTGTTCGTTTCCATGATGCTCTACTAGCTTGCTGCACACCTGTGTCTCTGTGTCATGCCCTCCTGTCTGGGATATGCTMCTGGGTGAGATGGGGAAGGCAAGAGAAAAAGCAGCTCTTGGRGAGGCAATGAGAAAGAAGTTGGATTAAATCAGCCCATTGCCCGTCACCACGGTGGTTATTCCCCGATGGAGGGACAGGGACAGGCTGCAGCAGGTACCACCCCCTCTATCAGCCACCAGAGAAGCCACTCAGCCCGCTCCAGGCGTGCTCTGCCCGWGGAGGGGACAGCCAGCAGCCTTGTCCCACACCCCCGTGACACACACAGCGCTTTGGGAAGGGGCGAGCCTGTGCCCCGGASCCCCAGCCCCGATCCCCCCGCCGCTACCCACCACCACGGGCCGGTTGCCCAGGAAGTTGAGGTCGCTGTTCTCGCCGAAGAGGTACCCCTCGGGGTGCGTGGAGTCGAACTTCTCCCCGCCCATGATGAAGTGGTTGGCAAAGTAACTCCCTGCAACGAAAGCACAGCGAGCGCCTGAGCGGAGCGGGAGGAGGGGGCTCCCGCCGGGCGCTGGAGCGGCACCGAGCCACCGGATCGATGGCTCGGAGGTGACTTTGTCCCCAGGGTCACCTTGCTGGGAGCCTTTCTGGTTGAGCTCACACGCTGAGAGCCCCGAGGGAGGCAGGGGCTGCCAGGAAGCAACGCTCCCTGCTTGCTCTCCTCTCCCTGCCTGCCCCCTCCTCTCTTCTCCCTGCCCTCTCTCCTTCTCCTCTCCTTCTCCTTCTCCTTCTCCTTCTCCTTCTCCTTCTCCTTCTCCTTCTCCTTCTCCTTCTCCTTCTCCTTCTCCTTCTCCTTCAGCCCCGGGATGGTGCAGGGGTCCGGCCTCACGGCAGTGCTGCCCTTGGAGGCTGCTCCATCCCGTGGGATTTAAGGGTGCTGCTCCCCTTTCCTTGCCTGGGCAATCCCTGTGAGCCCCAGAACGGCCCGAGCCACCCAAGGTCACCCTGACCTTCAGCCATCCCCGCACTGGCAGGAGCTGACAGATCCTGCTGTGTGAGGAGGAAGAGGAGACGGCTCCTGGGGCAGCAGAGAAGGAGAGCAGAGCTGATCCTGGGCACAAACAGCAGCTCATGTCCCGAGGAGGCAGSAGAGGCTCTGAGCTGCCAKAGAACGGAGCCCTGCAAGGCCTGGRGGAGCCAGGCTGGCTCCCACACCCTGGAGATGCTGTGGGAAGGGCAGCAGGGACCAGGCACGCAGCTCTCACAACGGACAGGGACAGCTCAGTGTCACAGACCCCATGTGCCACCCAAGGCCGTGTCCACAGCCGGGCACTGCACCGAGTTCTGTCAGTTCTCAGCCTGCAGCCTTCCCCAGGAAGGGCTCAGCTGCAGGAGGGAGGATTTGGGGGCCCACCAGGAGATCAGCACTGCCCCTGCAGAGCGCTCCACACCGCTGTGATGAACRCTGGGCAATGAGCAGTGTCCCTTCTTCCCCCCAGGGTAAAGCACAGAGCCAACACAGCCCCCAGCTCAGGCACTGCTCCACTGGAGATTTTCCTCCAAGCCCAACCAGGAGTCAACGGCTCCTTGTCCATGAGATCAGGGGTGTGTGGGAAAAGCATTGGGCACAGCAGCTGGCCAGGCAGAAGGGCTGGGATTTAAGGTGGGAAAAAAGGGAAAGGTGGACAGGGATGGGGCAGCAGCAAGGAGGGAGCAGAAGCACAAGGAATCAGTCAGACATGGACAGTGTCCTGCATCCTGCCAGTGTCCTGCACCCTGCCAGCCACAGGGACAGGGTCTGCCTTATAAAAACCCYAAACACACCAGCAAAGATCCCCCTGCACCCCAGGAGGGACACCCCAAACCCAAACCTTCAGGGACCACAGATAAAGGAGCTCAAGGCAGGGCTGCAGCTCTTCTTCTGGGGACTGAAGTCAGAGCTTGCAATCAGCTTCCAACAGAGGCAGAGACTGTCCAGTGCTGGAGAAGGCTTTAATGYTGCACTTAAAACCCAAAACTGAGCCCAAAGCCTGAAGGGAGGAGCAGGGGGATCTAACAGTGGGGCAGGAGGGATGAGCGGGGTCTCAGAGCTCTGCCCCAAGGCCCCATGGTGCAGCAATGCCCGGATGCAGCGAGYGAACGTCAACCATCAATTATTGATGCCTGCTGCTTTCAGGTCCCATTTTCCATGTACATAATTCATAGGCAGCTCGCCTGGAAGGACTTGGCCACGTGGAAAAAAAAAAAAAAAAGCCCCAAGAGCAAAGTGCCTTCGGAGCTGCCTGCAACAGCACAGCCAGGGGAGAATGGGGCCATCCAGAGCTTTTCCTGACACTGACTTGGAGGAGGAGCAGGAGATGGCAGAAAAATTACATTTAAACACCGAGAAAAGCCACCCCAGCACAGGGAGAAAGCTGGAAAATGGAACACAGGCTCTCTGATTGGCGCAGCCAGTTTGGTGTGTGCTGGGGGCTCCTGTAAGATAGGGAGAACAGGTGAGGACCATGCTGTCGTCACCAAGTCTCCCTGACAGGGTTTGGGAGCATCCCTGGGTACTGCAGGCTCCCAGCACATCCCTCAGAGGCTTCAATCCCTCCTGACAGCAGACAGAACCAGCYCTGTGCTCCCTCCCTTGCTGTTAAACAAGAGGCTCGAGTCGTGCCAGGCTTTTCCAGGGAAGCAGCAGCACAGGAAAGCCCAGGGCATCATCAGGAGTGTGTCAGTGAACCCCCGGACAGGGCTGGTGGCAGAGCAGCACCTTCCCAGCCCCAGCCACCTCGTTACAGGCTAAYTGCAAATCCAACATGCCAGGGAAGGGCAGCCTGTCAAGGACAGCCACATCTCCAGAAGGGCTGTGCAGAGCYGCTGCTGGAAAGGAGGAATAAACCCAAATTGCCTGAGGTTCCTGGCAGAAAAGYGTTTGTGTCTGGCACATCTGCTGGCAGCAGCACACGGGACACACCTGGCAGCAGCTGCCAGTTCCTTTTCCCCAGGAGTGCCAGGGATGCCACCCTGTGCAGGTGAAGGAGGGTGTGTGTGCTGTGCCCGTGGCTCTGGCRTGCAGTGGCACACGTCCTGCACTGTCCCCAAGGCACCATCTCTGCCCTCCTGGGGTCTGCTGCTGCAGCCTCTGGCTGTCCAGCCTAACAGCCTCGMTCTCCAAAGCTGCTGAAACAGAAAAGCTCGTTCCCAGCTCACCCACACGCTCCTGGTGAGGGAAGCACCAGGTTTGCAGAGCCTGCGGTCAGCCCATGGCACGGTGCTGGCACAGGGACACCGTGCGGCAGCGGGTACCAGCACAGGGTGATGTGGTGGGCTGCTTAAAGGCTCTGGCTGCTCCTGCCCCTGAGCAGCCCGTGATTGAATTGTGTGCTCTAAAGGGGCAGCCGGAGCTGATGCCAAACCCTGTCCACAGCACTGCTGCGTCAGCTCTCACCTGCCACTGCTGTGCCACCACCAGGGGTTGTGCCCCCAGGACTGAGGGTGTCACTGCTGGATGAATCCCTGTGCTCCTGCCCCCAGCCAGGGCCCTGMTCACAGTCCCATGAGCCCCAGGGGAGCTCGGTGCCAACTTCAGCCATGGACAGGAGCTGAAAGCTGCAGACTTGCCCCCAAAGCCATCCCAGTAGYCAGGCAGAGGGCTCCATCCACAGCCCCCTCTGGCTCTCCCTCCCARTGGCAGCCACTGAAGTAAATCCCAGCCTTTGTTTCAAAAATKATGGCTTAACTTATCCCATTGACATCCTGCCTGGAGGGGATGGGACCCCCGGCATGGGGAGATGTTTAACTGGGACAAGGTGCAGCTGCCCTGTTCCTGTGGGCTGCACTGCTCATCCCCAGCGAGCCCACAGCCCCACAGCCACATCCACAGAGACAGGGAAATGCCCCAAGGTCCCATGAGATTCCCCTCCAGGACTGCATTTCCAAAGCCAGTGGCTGTTTCCAGGTGGCTTTTGAGGTGATTGAAGCGCTGCTGCCACGGAGGAATCGGCTCCGCTGCCCAGCACGTCCTCCCTCGGCTGCCGGCAGCGCTGAAGGCAAATCCCACTCGGATTAAAGACAAACCAGCCATAATCTCCCAGGGCCACCAGCCTGCCCTTGTCCCAGTGCAGATGGCCGTGTCACCTGGGCACCTCCTGCCCCACTCCCCGAGGAGCCTGGGCAGCACCAGGACCATCCCCTCAGCCCTGCCCAGACCCCAGAGGTGGGACCAGCCCAGCTGAACAAACCCAGGAGCCCCGGGCTCTCCCTGAAAGCCGGAGTTAAGCATCAGTCTGGCAGCAGAGATGAGTTTGGARGTGCTCAGCTGAGCACACTTGCACCCTGCACCCCTCAATACGCAGATATTTCGAGAGCCCCTAAGTAAGATGGGGTCCCAAAGGAAAAACCCGTAATTCGTGGAGACACAGTCCCTACAAAGAGCAATCCCAGGGAGGAGGTGGTCCAGCCTCACTTGGCATCAAGGAGACAGAGGCTTTGAAACCACGTAAAAAGGGGAGCTGGGGGAGCCCTGCGGGAGGCCAGGCTGTCAAGGATCAGCCATCTCCAACCAGCTGTGTAACCTATTTTAGATTAAAGTTTTTTTAAAAAAAGGCAAGCACAGCTTTTCAGGACAAGCGCAGGGTTTGTGTTGGCTGTAATTCTTCCTAAGGAGGTCTTTAGTTGTAATTAGCGAGTAATTTGTCACCGCGCTAACGATCCGAGCGTTTTCCTTATCCTATTAACKACCAAAATAGTTACCTATTAATAATATTTAGCGCTGCAAGGATCCTGTGCAATCTCCTCACATGCACGCACGGCGCTCCGGGGCATCACCCACCGGTGCCGGTATTTTTGTGGCTCTGAAGCGCTGCCCACCSAGGGAACCGGACCCCATCGCCCCTCCCCGGTGTGCCCCCCTCGGACACCCGCTCAGCCCGGCCCTGGCAGGGAAAAGCGAGGCACAGAGGGRAGGGACGGATTTTCCAAGGTCACGCACAAGGTTTGAGACAGGGCCGGATCGGGGAGCGAGAGATGCATCAGCAGCAAGCCTGGAGGCAGGGAGAGGAGCCGGGAAGGAGAACGCTCCCCACGGCAGGGGCTGGGGTGCTACGATGGGGCAGAACCCTGGGAAGGAGGGACCCCCTCCAATCCCTCCCACCCCAGCCTCCCTCATCCTCCCGGGAATTTAAACCCAGGATTTTCCCCGAGCAGCCAGCACCGGAGTAACCGGGCTATAAAAAGCGCCTCCGGAGCCCGGTGCTGCAGCCCACGGCTACAGAAATAATTATAACAATAATGTCATTAAAGTCGCGTCAACTCAGCCAAGTTTGGGAGCCGGGGCGGGCCGGCAAAGGGGCGCCCTGAGAGGGGTGTTCCCCATCCCTCCCGCGCCGCATTCACCCAGGGCGCCCCGCACAGACCCRGATTTTTAGGGTGCCCCCCTGTGCGTCAGCGTTTGCTTTGGGGTGCGCAGGATCAACCCCGCCCGGAACAAGGTCGTGCCCCCTGTGCCCGCCCGACTCGCTCCCCTCTTCCCCTCCCCTTCGTCGGCAGCGGGACGCGGGACCCTCCGGGGGCTCACCGGATTTCGGGGGGTATCTGTAGACGGAATTAGCGGGGACATCCACTTCCTCCACCCCTGCGTTCTGCCGGCTGGTCAGAGCCCCCATGGCCGGGCCGGGCTCAGCGGGCGGGGGGCGGCGGGGTGTCCTCCCGCCCGGGACCGGGACCGGGACGGGGACCGGGGCTGGCGGCGGCCCCCGCCCGCAGCATCCTCCGCTCCGCTCCGCTCTGCGCCGCGCCCGGCACCGCCTCCGCGGCACCGCGGGGCTGCGACACTCGGGGCGGGGCTGGCATCGTCCGGCACGCCCCGACCCGCCCCGGCTCGGTCCGGCTCGGCGGTGGCGTGAGGGGATGAGACGCAGCCGCTGCCTTCCCGGGTCACCCTGCCCCGGTGTCTCCCGCCCACCCAGCGGCGTCTCCCCTCAGGTACCACTCACCTGTCCCCCTCGGTGGCACGGGCATGCCCACAGTGCCACCCACCCGCCATGCCCTGTGTCACSCCGTTGTCTCCAGTACAGCTCAGGGGTTCTGCTCGCCATCATCTGCCACCCCCAGGCACCCTCCAGTGACCTTTATCCATCCTGGTCCACTCTCCTCCCACCCTTGCCCCCAGCCCCACCAGCTGGGTGWCACCGAGCAGCAGTGCCCCAGGGACATCCAGGGACAGCCTGGGCACGGTCCCTCTGTCCCTGAAACCCCTGCGTGGCCCTGGAAGAAGGACAAGCCCCCCAAGTCACAGGGGGGTGCAGCTGTCGGGACAAGGGTTGGTTCCCCCCAGGGCTGCACAGCATCGGAGAGGGGGCAGGTTAAAGCCCCCCTCCATCTCYCCCGTCCTGCCTTCCCAGCTCCGCTCCACGCCAGGAGCAGCTRGCGCAGCCTCTGGAGGGCAGGGAGCTGCCTGTCCGCTCCAGTGCACCCCAACAGATTCCCCCAGCTCTCCATTTTCGGGAAGCACTGCTCCCCTACTCATTTTCCACTTGGAGCTGAAGAGGAAGGATGGACCCTTTGACCGTTCGCTTAAACCCGCCGGTGATTAATTAGTCCGGCAGCGCCAGTTAGTGGAGCGTCACATGATTTTGATTTGAGTTGATAACACGAGTGCTATAAATATCAAACGGGAGATGTGCAGGGAGGCGGATCAGCTGCCCTGATGTCCTCGGCTACTCAGCAGTGACGAGCAAAGGCCGTCCCCGGGGCTCCCCTCTTCATGCCCTCCCCAACTGTTCCCTACCCACACGGCCCCAAAGGCAGCTGAGAAAAGCCAGCCCGAAGAGCAGCCAGGGGTGGCTTTGTGCCGTTTSTCAGCCTGTCACTGTCACACCGGGACCCGCATTCCCAGCAGTGACACCATGCCCAKGCTGCTGGATGTCACCCCTGGGCTGGGCGCCAGCGGGAGCACCGGCTGAAGAGGAGGATTCAGATTCCATGATCTTAAAGGTCTTTTCCAACCTAAATGGTTCTGGGAGGAGCCGAGGGCAACATTCACACCGGGAGCCTGCTCCAGCTCTCAGTGCTGGCGCCCAGCTGGGAGCCCCGAGACCCCGGGGTCTGATCCCTGCTCACCCCAACACACATTTTTGAGGTTCTGCACGTGGATCATTAAAAAATCTAGCACAGCCCAGCACTGCCGAGCCGCCAGCCCCGCTCCCCTGCTCCAGCCAGCACCGACAGCGGGAAAGTGGGAGAGGGAGCCAGCACATTTCATTACCGGCACACCGCAGACTGCAGGGTTTTAGTGCAGATAATAATTCAAAGTTATCCCCGTGCAGATCCATAACCCGGCAGTCATCACACGCAGAGCTGCTGCCTGCATGCACGGCTCGTGGTTTGTTTTTTTTTTTTTTTTTCCCAGCGATTACTGCAGCAGAGGATTTTGTAGGACAGTGCCGCAGTGGAGCGCGGGAGCGCTGGCAGGAGCTGGGTGACGATATGGCTTCGAGGGCAGGGTCCCTCCAGTCCTGCCCGGCCGCAGAGCCCCGCACACAGAAAAACCGGAGAAACCCCAGCAGGGCCGGCCCGGGGAGAGAATCCAGAGAAAATGCAATGTTTAACCCCAAAATGCACGTTTTGCTGGGCAAGATGCAATTCTGAAGCTCGTGCTGCCCAGATATGGGATTTGGGATTTGAGAGAGGATCCTGCTCCTGCYTCCTTGTGATGAGAGGGAAACTGAGTCACGGGAGAGCACAGCAGTTAAGGTTAGCTAGAGGGTGAACAGCTCACCCACGGCAGGAAATGTTTGTCTGTTCCCAGTCCGCTCCCAGTTCACCCAGTAGCCACTGGCACAAACTGGGGAGCCCCCAGCCCCTCTCCCCATGGGCTGGCTCTGCTCCCTGCAGCCCCACAGTGATGCCTGGGGAGGGAGTGACCCTTCCTGTCATGTCCTTGGCCCCCCAGCTCCTGGCTGGAAGGTGCTGGTAGCCCACCCTGTACCGAGGGGTGACCCCAGACCCCCGGGATCCCAGTGGGGTGGCCGAGCAGCACCCCTGGAAGAGCATCTCAGCAGGAAGAGGTGACAGTGAATCCTGTTCTGCTGCAAATCCTGCCCCAAAAAGGGGGTTCATTTTGAACGACTCACAGTCCTGTTGACTTTTTCGAATGTCACCAACAGTGTTTTGTCACAGTTTTGGGTGCCAAGGGCCCATGAGCAGCATTGCCATGGGTTCCCCAGGCAGGCAGTACCCGAGGCTGGCTGCTCCCAGCTCGAAGCTGCACTGTGCACAYGAGTGGATGGCTTTGGCAAGTGGGAGAGCTCTCCAGGGCTGTGTGCAGGAGGCAGGTGGGTCTGGGATTCCTGCACCTGGAATTGCTCCTCTCACACGTCCACCTGCCTCAGGGCTGTTTGTGCCCCAGGAGAAAAAAGCTGCCAAAATCTTACTGGGCAAGCAGGACCCTCCGTACTGTACCCCATTGCTGTATCCCAGTGATGGGATCCCCCTGAATATCCCGGGAGGATATCCAGCCTTGGGGAACCATATCCTGGCACTGCTTTTCCATTGTATCCCTGTCTGCTGGATGTCATCTCCCCAGGACCACCAGGACTTGGAAAAATCCCCACCCAGGCCCTCACTGCTGGGGGCAACCAGCTGCAGATGCTGCTGCAAGTTTCCATCCCAATGCTCCTCATTCCCTCTCCCCCGGAGAGCTGGTCACCACTGCCACATCCAAACCTCCAATGGCTCCTCCCAGATCAACATATTTTCACTTTTGCAAAGTCCCTTGCTTATTTGTTTTGGGGTTTAAATGCCAATTTTCCATTTTTAATCAAAACACTTCAAGGCATGAATCACACCAGTCCCACTTGGTCCCCAAACCCAGTGTGGGGGAAACACACCAGGAGGAAGTTCACCCTTGCAGGCTGAGACTGGAGCTCAGTATCATCGGGATTTTAACCATTAACAAAAAATCCCATCTCCCCCACAAACTGGGAGCTCTGTGTAGGATACAGACTTGGCATAAGGGTGAACAGAGGATGGGTCCGTCCTCCTGCCCCCACCATCTGGGTAGGGTCCCATCTCCGGGGGCATCAGGGTTCCCAAGATAGAGGACGGTGCTGGGAGAGCCTTGC